CCAAACAAAATGGGACCCTCTTAACCCACCCAACCCCGCCTCCCAAGCCCCACCCACAAAAAAAGTTATCCTAGTAACTGTCTTTTTCACATTTTATAAATATTAACTTCTTAAACCTGCACCTTCTTCTTTGTCCACATATTGTCACATTACAAAAAAAAAAGAAAGAAAGAAATGTCAATTAAATACATTGTTAATGTTACTATATTAAATCTGCTCTCGGCTTCAGCCAATTGCTTCCCATCCCACCACGTGCACCTCCTTGTGCCCACACTTCCGGTCAAACCAACAGCATGTTCATCGTCTCCACCTTCAGACACCCACAAGACAGAGCCGCTCAGAGACCAGGAATTCTGGAGCTCAAGGCCAGGTGTCTGCTCTGTAGTCTGATGCTCAATCCCCAACACGTATAGCACCTGATGGTAGAATCGGAACAGCACCAGCTGCATTGCAGCCTTGATTTATTTTTGAGTAAGGAGCAGGAGAGAGCGGGTGGTCAACCAGGAAGAGGAGTGGAAAGGAAAGAGAGGAAGGGCCCAGCTCGGGAGCCTGCGCACACAGCTGTCTTGGACTGCGCCGGGGCAGTCGGAGCTCCAGTTGAAAGGGATTCCAAGTTCTCGGGATCTTGAAGACTCTGGAGGCCAGTGCTCCTCTGATCACCCTGCTTCTACCAGCTCAGAAGAGAAGTCCTGCCTAAGGTCATGAAGTACACCTGACTGCTGCCACCAGACCGGACCGAGGCAAAGAACACCTGCAAAGGGAGAGAGAAAGGGGAGAAGGGGCTGAGCACGGGGCCCTATGATTCCTGGTTTCCCAGACAGGCTGCCTGGAGGTGCCCCACAACACCTCCCTGTCTGGAAAGCTTACAACCTCAGAGAGCCAGGAGTCACCATCTGTGGCCAACGTTTATTACAACTAAGAGCTAACTCCTTGTCACGAGAGACCTCAAAATAAAACCGCTGTCTGAAAACAGGCTCTTCCTTTGCAGCTCTGCTATGCAAACCTTTTAAAGGGTGTTTGAAAAACTCGATGAGCAACGGGAAGACTCTTCAGCCACCTCCTTTTCTCTCTCCCTTTCAAAAATTAAGCTATAGGACATCACCTACTTCACTTGATGCTATAGCCAAAGTAATATACTTTAGGAGGGATAAAAAAAATACTCAAACGCTGAAATTCAATATACTGGGGAAAGCCGGCAAAATCCCGACCGTTCAAAGAGTACGGTCTTGGGAGACGGTGTGCAGTAGGACAGCGGCCACTGAGATGAGGGCCAGGTGACAGAGGGGCAGCGCCTGCGTTTGGTGTGGCTGCGCCGGCAGGGCTGGCTGACAGAGGCAGACATGTAGCTAGGATAAGGTGACCAGATGTCCTGCTTTGGGCGGGACAGTCCCGATTTTTAACAATTTTTCCCGCGTCCCGTGGCACTTTTAAAAAGTCCCGATTTTTTGAAAGAATGCACAACAAGCTAGGGTATACGGTTTTTGGCTGCCGTGTGGCTATTTCGCCAGGATATGAGTTTTATCAATGGTGTCCCGCTTTACCAATGTGAAAATCTGGTCACCTTAAGCGAGGATGATGTCTTTCAGTGTGAGGTGAGAGATGGGAGTGGTTTTTTTTGTTTGTTTGTTTGTTTTTAACATTTTATTAGGGGTTCATACAACTGTTATCCCAATCCATACACACATCAATTGTGTAAAGCGCATTTGTACATCGTTTCTCAAAACACTTTCTCTCCACTTAAACCCCCGACATCAGGTCCTCATTTTTCCCCTCCCTCACCACTCCCCCCTCCCTCATGAGCCCTTGATAGTTTATAAGTGGGTATTTTGTCGGGAGTGTTTTTAAGAGGCAAGCCTCTAAACATGTACTGCACAGTCTCCGGCAGAAAGACATGCCTTTACCCAGCTGGACAGGAGCACGAGATGGTTGTGCTCATTAAAAATTCGGTTGCGCAACTGATGTCCTTCCCACAGCAGGCTGAGGTAGGTCAATGACCCTGGTCATCTACCTCAGCCCTTCACTCCAAGCTGGTTTGGGGAGGAACTCACAGGAAGTGAGTAGCCCCTGAAGAAGACCAAGTTGCGGCCAGTGTTGAAAAGCCAGGGCTTGCCCTCAGGCCTCCTAAGGTGATTTCTATCCCTGGACGTTGAGGATGGGCAAACTAAGAAGCTAATTCTCTACGCCAAAGGCTGACTCCCAAGTGGCATCATTCTGATACCTGTGAGGGGACCATTCACTCCCCCCAAGTGGCACAGGCAGCTCCTTCTCCCCGGGAAGCAAGCCTGTGTGCACTACACAGGGAGAGGGTCCAGAGGAATTTTGGAAGAAATGCTGGCAATCGACTCTGAGAAATCAGAGGATGGAGACCTTTAAGGGGCACCGTTCTACTCTGACACTCAGGGGGTTGGCTTGCCCCGAGTCCAAATCGACTCATTGGCAACTGGCTCATTATTCTCCTAAGTTATCCTTAAACTAAACGCAGGCTAAACCGGTCCACCTGCTGAGGTTTACAAACACACAAAAGTCCCAATACACCCAAGACAGGATTTGACTGAGGCAAATACCTCCACAACCTACTGGCAAAGAAAAAAAATTAAAATATACCCCAAATTCCCATAAATATATCTGAGAAACCATCTCTAAAAAGTCTCTTGATGAACTTATTTCAGAATCTATTGAAACTCCAAGGAAAGGCTCCCTCTCTTATTCCAAGGATCACAAACCACCGCTAAGAGATAGTGGCAACCAAGAAAAAGTGGAAGTCATTTACCTTGTCGTTACGTTCACATAAGAATTTTAGTCTTTGAGCCCTTTTGTGCATAAACACACCATCCAAGTGACCGGTTTCCACAGATCGGATCTCTATGGCCTTCTCTCCCCAGCCCATAGTCTGGTTGGATCGAATGTAAGCTGGAGGGAAAGGGGGAAAATGGTTACAGAAAAGAAACAGCCATGCAAAGACGTTGCTCATGTCACACGGGGAATATAGGAGGGGGATTCTAAAAGGAAGTAGAAAAAAAAATTCATCATCTTTCAATTTAACCCCCCCCCCCAAAGTTTATGAAGCCCCCCTCGTACACCAAGAGCTGTAACTTTAGAGAAGGGTCTCCAGTTCCGCCGGCCTGACACCCACCTACAGATGTCGGCATCTCTCCCCACTGCAGAACCACATCCTTGGTAATCCTTCCGTAGGTGTTCACATAAACCCCTTCATCTTCATAACACACTAGAAGCTCCATCCCATCGGTGTTGGGGAGGATGATGATGGCATGGGGTTTGATGCTACACTGGATCTGGAGGACAGGAACACAGGACAGGGAAGCATGGCTGTGGTGATTTCCAGCCCAACCAACGTGCCCAGGAAGACCATCTTGGCGAATGCACTGCCACCGTAGCCTGGTGACAAGTACAGCAATCGCGTAACATTTCGGAGAACCTATGAGCGATATTACCCCTAAATTTATCTTTAACACATCATATACTCTCTACGGAACCTGAAACAGGCATGACCCTGCGCCCCACGTGAGAGAAGTTACGTTCTTAGAACCATTCCCAGCCCAGGAACCTGCCAGCAACTGCCCGCCATCCATCCCGTGTTAGTCAAAGCAAAGGCTTCATAGAATGGGGAAAGTAATTTCTACTTGTGCCAGAATGTGGGCCTCTTCACAGTGGCGTGTCTTTTAAATACTCACCCCCACACCACAGGGAAGTGAGCGATCCCTGCTTGTGTTAGTTCACTAAGCAGAGTAGAGAAAAAAGTCAAAACAAAATGAAGCCAGTCAACCAACCATAGAGTGTGGGTTCTTTCTTACGTGTGTTGGTAGATAAATGTCGTAGACCGACCCCGAATCCACATCAACAGCATGGAACCCAGCACAGGAGCCATAGATAACTTTCAACCTCTGGCCTTCCTCAACGGTGAGATCCACCAGCAATGGCTTATGTAACAACTCTCCAAAAGACTACAAAGAAGCAATCGAGAGAGAAGAGGTGAAGAGTAAATCGAACTTATTTGTAATTGTACTCGCAGCTGCCAGGAGTGAAAGTCGGTTTGCATCATCTTTTATCTGTGTGTCCGCTCCTGGAAGCCCTCTTCTCCGGAAGGCAAGTTCTGCATCACCCGTCAAAGCTCTGGCCCACTGCTTACGGTTTGGCTCTGTGTCCCGATCGGAAAATGTGTAAAAGCCAATAGTGAGGGTTTCCTAGAGCATTCAAATGCAGACCATGGAAACAGAGAAGCTGTGTTCATGACACACTGGGCATTTGTCTGCATCATCCCTGGAGTCACTGCTTCACGCTACACTTCCGTTCGACAGCACCACGTGGTGACTGAAGGCTGTGCTGAATCGCCTGCTCAGGACAGAGCAGTCTCAGCTCTGCTTTCACAGAACACCCAGTTTACCAGATGGCAGTGATGGACGATGAAGCAGAGTAAACGTAATAGCATGGATGTCTAAAACCCGATTAGTATGATAGCCGGTCCATGAAAGATCTTAAAACCTGATCCCAGAAGCTAAATGTTAGTTTACAACCAAATGTTTTGAGTCAATAACACTAACAACAACATAGCTATGTTGCGGTTTTTCAAACAAATACCCTAACCGTGTTTCCAGCTTCCCTGGGGATCTAGCCCAACTATGTATGCAAATTTTCTAAGCTACTACTGCTTATCCTTAAACAAATAAGCAAACAGAACCCCCCAAATCCAAAACTAACTGTTTTTAAAATTAAGCGTGAGCTTGTGGAGTTAAAAGGCCTGACTTTATCATCCTGTACTACAATGGCCTCTGAGGCTGTTTAGGATTTTGTGCTTAGCATTTAGAAATTATATTATTAAATGATTTATGTTAATTAAAGTCACAGTAACTACCACTTATTAAAAAAATCATTCATGCATATTTAATGCACTCTAGATTATTAAAAAAGAAATATTAAAATATTCAGATGAAATTGCTAATACTTTCCCCATGAGCAAGTTTTTTTTTTTGCTTAGAGCAAAAATGGGATCATGTAGTACATGGATTTTAACTTGCTTTTCCCATTTAATGTGTAATACACATTTTTTGTGTCATTTTAAGTATTTTTTATTTTCAATTTGTACTCAATTATATAGCTACACATTAAAGCTCCCTATTATTAAACACCTTTCTATTATCAAAAACCTTTCTAACTCCTTGAACACATTCCTCAGTTGAGGTGGCAGGTCTGCTTTACAGACTAAATGGTGTTTTGTCTTTCCCTTTGCTAATATGCAGGCACAGATATCTCTGCCCAGCACCCAGCTCTTGTCTTCCCACTTGCTGAGCAAAGCCAGCACCTGAGCTAAGTGTACAGAAATAAAAGAAAACAGGTCTTTAGAAATTGTCTCACTTATGAAAAATGGAATCCACTAGCACATAGCTTCTGTATTTCCAAATCTAATGGTTCAGTGCTTTTAAAGTCATGTCTTGGCTCTTGGTCACAACTAACATGGCTGATGATGCTTTTAAATGTATTTGATTTATACCTTAAAGGCCATGAACTTGTGATATGGCTTGGGTGCCCACGCATAGACTTCCACAGAACTCTTCAGAGCAATTACCAGGAACTTGATTCTTTCATATTTTACTGGGGAAAAAAAGCAAAAAACAGAGCAGCACAGGTCAGTATCAACGATGAACTCTTTGTTATTTCTTCCAGAAAGCTCCTGGACACTTTACAAACACATTTCCCCTTAGTCTATTCAAAAACAACAGAGACCAATCCTGAGTTTCCTTTCCTAATGCTTTACTGCTTAAGCCAAGCTTTTCCCATCATACTGAATGGAGCACTGGACTCAATTCTAATAGGAACTGAGACTTTATTCAGGAATGCTTTCTCGAATGTTGCTAATCATCTTGGATGATGAATACTTCGTCATCAAGAACAAAGCCAGGCATGTAGCCCGCAGGTCTAGAGGGCTCCGTATTTCAAGTGGATAGGGCATGAATAACCAGCCAATCTTACGGCCACAGAGTTGATTCTGACCCATACTGACCCTCTAGAACAGAGACGTGCCTTAAGGGGCTCCAAGGCTGTAAGGGGCAGACCACTGACTGCATCCTGCACCCTAGGAGCAAATGGCGGATTAGAAATGACGACCTTACCGCTGCACTCCGCTATGCCTCCGAGGATCCTTACCCAGCCAAACAGGCTCTTGGCTAACAGAAAGAGTTCTTCCATGCAGCCTGCGGAGTCCTGAAATGTACTACTGCCACTGAAAACTAATTTTGAATTTTATTTAATTTTACGTGATTACATATTTAAACAGATCCCTGAGCTTGGTGGCTATATGTCCTGACATTGGGGGACGGGGGAGGGCTGGAATGTTCTTTTCACCCCCAAAAAGCATGAAGAAAATAATGATCGAATCATATCACACGTTTGTATCTTTTGAAAATGTCCTGATTTGTCCTGTAAGTTTCAAAGCTGCCCTTTGATTCCCAAGGAAAGTTCCATTTGATTGAGCAGGCCTGCCTCTGGCTCCCCCTGGAGGATTACCTAGTCATGTGCACCCCCGTGACTATGAGCTGTTTCATTCAACTTATGCCCAAAATGATAACAGTCAAACCGAATGAATGAATGAATGAATGAATGAATACTGAGGAGTCAGCGCTGATTTCGAGCCTCACTGGGAAGCAGTCTAGATCAACACTGGGGCGGCCCCAGTGTGCATACACTAGCGCAGCAGGATGACCAGGGTCTCCAGGGACTGACTCTGGTTTACCTTTTCATAAACACAGGGCACAAAGGAAAAAGGGCAAACACAAATCAACGTCAAGCATGTCTCTAAACTAATCTAATCAGGCTGTGGCGTGATTGTATATAGATAGACGGCTTTGTTTCCCTCCATGTCCTACATGGTGCCGGAAAAAAAAAAAAAAAAAACTTTCCCACAAAACTTTCATTTGGCAAATATCCACAATCTCCTCTTTATGTTCATCATTAGCCCAGTATTTTGATATGTTTTGATTTTATTTCATTATATGCATGCCAAGGAGAGAGAAAAAAACAAAACAAAAAACCCACAGTGGCCTAGAGACCCCATGGGCTGGGTGGCTAAACACACCTACAAGCAGTCCCAGGGTTACAGGCAATGCTGTTCCTAAGAGGGTCTTTCGAGTTGAATTTCTCGGTAACTTGAAAGGGTATACAGTCAACTTACTTTACTCTAAGAAAAGTCTGGAAACCTTTAAAACGATTTGAAAGCGGCATTTGCAGCAAGTCAAGGTGATTGTGCCGAGTGTTTTCAAATTATAAAGCAAGAAACGGCAGATACACACTGTCCTTAGGCCAGTGACCCTTCACCGGGAAATGCGCGCTAGTGAGGAGCCCAGCAGCTCCGCACAGTGCCCACTGAAATGGACGAGCCACCCTTCTTAGCGCCAACCTCTCCGACAGCCTGTCGACCAGGGACTGCCTAGCATTCAGCCTAGTCTCCGTGGAGAAGATGCCTGGGGGCGGGGGCTACAGAAGGATTCTAAATGTTGGTTTCAGTTTGGCAAGATTTTAATGGTTACCCTGACCCACACCTTCAAGAGAAGAATGTGGACTCTCACAGAGAAGAGGTGAAAAGATTATCTCACATGATAAACTATATGAAATGAGATGATGGGCAGGAACAATCCGCATGCTACACTCAGGGGCGCATGTATAGCAACAAGACAAGGGCTAGAAACCACAGGATTAGAAGATGCTTAGAAACAAAATATGAGAAAGGAGCCACAAATCCCACAAAGCGAGTTAATTACCAGTTTCACAGAACACGAATTAAACCCGAGAAAAACGTCCCTTCTGACTCTCCCAGAACTTACCAACTTTATAGTGTACACATCCTTCCAAATCCCCCACGGTCGTCCAGCCCTGCTTCTTCTCCACTTCTGGATCATTGTGAAGTATTTTATTTCTTAACCAGGACAAGTAGTAGACCCGTAACTTATCCTTTTTGCCTAGCAAAATAAATATAAATATGTAAAACACACGTTGAAAATAAATTATCTTTAGTAGCAGTAGAGAATGTAGAATGCCCACATACCAAGAGAGAGGCTATCAACAAACCACAAAGGAATACAAGCAAATGCACAATCATACAACCAAGTTTCCACGGTGCTTTCACATCAATTACGTCACCTGGTCTCCAAAACCCTTTACAGTAGCTAGTTTAACTCATTTAACAGATGAGGAAACGGAAAGTACAAAAACCTTAAGTAAATCACCTGTGTAACTTACATAAGGCAAACAGCACATGGGGAGATAGGTGCAACTTAGACCCCCATCCAAAATAAACAAACAAACTCGCAGCTAGAATATGTAAAGACTCCCTTATAGAAAAAAAACCCAAAGGGAATCAGGGCAAGTAACTAGCGCAGGTGTTTCACAAAAGGCCCCCAGACAGACATAAAAGGGTACTCGATTTCAACAGCCAACAGGCATGTGCATATTACAATTTGAAACACTGATGAGAAATGTCTAGAAATGAGAAGACTTAGGTTACCAAAGTAGGTGTGGTGTAACCCCAAATCTCTAACACTAGTGTGAAAACTGTTAGAGCCACGTTGAAAGGCTTCATATGAACTTTTTTTTTTTAAAGGCATCATTGTGAATTAGGTTAAGGTTTGTAGACCAGATCATTGGTTTTACATTCGTACACATTTTGCTCCGTCTTGTTCACTGCGATCCACTTCCCCCGTGTTTCCTGTTTCAACTCCTCATGCCGTCCCTGCCGGACTCCGCTGCCCTTCTGATGTGAAATGGCTTTATGACTTTAAGGTGTGAGTACCTCCCTAGTCATACTGCTCACCTGGGGGACTCATCTACTGTTTGGCCAACAAATTGCGGCAGCAGTGTAGAAATCCCAGACTAAGGACTGGAACGGAGAAGACCCCCCGCCCCTCTCTCAAACAAGTATGCCTGCTTTCTCTCATGGCTTTTATTTGTTTTCTTCCTTGTTCTCTCGTGCTAGCCGGAACCTTCTAATGCGATCCTTTTCAGAGTTGTGGTAGCTGGGTACCAGCTAGCTCTCCTGGTCTCGGTCCTGGAGACCACTGTCCACGTGGTTCATTCGTCCACGGGACTAATGTGTCTTCCGTTTTCATCGCTCTTCTTTATTCTGGACGGGGAGTGGGCAGAAGTTGCCCCTATATGGCTTATCAGGAGTTTTTAAGATGCTATTCTGGACGGGGAGTGGGCAGAAGTTGCCCCTATATGGCTGATCAGGAGTTTTTAAGATGCCAGGTGCTCTTCACACAAATAGGACACAGAACATTGTCTTTGTGGACTGTGCCAGGTCAATTATACATGGTCTCCCCAGAGTCTATGGTCCTGAGCACCCCCAGAGCCCAGCAGCTCATTCACTCAAGGTGTTTGGTTATGGCTAAGAAATTGTCTTAACTTTACTACTCCTGTATGTTCTCACATATCTGTGAATATATTTGCAGCAGAAGTAAACACCCATGCATAAATATCCTTCGTCAAACCTGTGTCTGTAGATAGACTCCCCCTGTCTCCCTCACCTGTTCAGGATGTGTGTCTCTGCACCCGAAAGGTTTAGTATTATATACTAAAGTTGGAGAGGCAGTCCGTGGGTTATGAATCACCCTTCTCCCCACAGAAAGCCCATTAAATTAAAAATTCGAGGTATAATGATTTCTAATAAACAGGTGCTTCTTCATGATGCACCTCAAAATATCATTATGATTGCTGTTAAAGATATTTTGTGTACCTAAACGTGTTTCCTTAATTTTTTAATGCATAAAACATATACTACATTTTCAGACAAACATATGACTAGCTGATGTTATGTACAAATTCAGCTTCAAGACAGACACAGAAGCTGGATCTTATCCATAAGCTGGGGACCACCATTTGAATACTTTGTCATTTCTCTCCTAACAGATATGAATTCAGCTTAATGAAGGGAAAATCAACCTAAGGTGTTGAATGTCAGCAGTGTTGCCCCCTGGGCAGCAAGGCAGCCTGGGAGCTCCTGGGTGCTGGCACTGCCAGTTCTCTGCGTGGTGGGGGCCTGATGCACTCCATGGTTTTGCTGGTTTGGGGATCGCTCACTGAACTGGGCATGTATAATCTGTGCACTGTCAGTAACTATCTGTTTTAGATTTTAGTTCAACTTTTCTGAGTATTGAAATTGTTTTTAAAGTGGGAAAATATTCATTGTAAAGTTAAGTAAAAAGAAGGCCTGAAGGAGCCATGAGGGGAGCTCTGTGTCTAGTCTTGTATCTGTCCAGGACAGTGCGCAAACACCTGCCCTCGTGGGTTCTCATAAACAGCATCC